CAATTACTGTCAATAAATAAATCCATATTTTAATTGATAACTCAAAATCAATTACAAACAAAAGGGAAAGACCTACTCATAGAAAAAGCCGGACTCCGTATCCAACTGTTCGTCCAAAACGCAGTACAGAGTGGTCTGGACTCCCATCTCAGTGTTCAGAAACAGTATATCCCTAATCGGGTCGTTATTGAACACGTGTTTCTGTAGATCCGTTTTAATGACGCCGGGATGTAAGGCATAGCACGTGACGGTACTGCCCTGACCCAGACGTCTGGACAACTCGCGTGTGAACAGCACCTGGGCCAGTTTGCTCTGGGCGTAGGCTCGGGTCGGGTCGTATTTACCATTGCGAAGGTTAAGGTTATCGAAGTACAGTTTTCCCACTTCATAGTATTTGGCCGATACACTGACTACCCGTGCTTTGGGGGCTCTCTGTAGTTGTGGTAATAGAGTGAGTGTCAATAGAAATGGACCTAAAATTGCATTTTTCAAACAGTATTCATGAGACATTTGTTTTAATTATTTTTTGTGCTGTTAATTAATACCCAAATAATTGGTCCCGAACTGCATCTCAAAGCCATCGGTGGTCTGCCATTCCGGGCACATCATAATCCCTGCGTTGTTGACCAGTATATCAATGATTGGTTCCCTTTCCTCCATTTCGTTAGCGAAGTGTCGAATTGACTTCAATGAAGACAAATCCAGTTTAAGTGAAGTGATGTCTGCCCCGGGATTCACGGATTTGATGTCATTTACAGCCGATTCAGCCTTTTCTAAATCACGGCAACCGATGTATATCTGTAACATTGAATTGAAATAAAATTTTTAAAATGTTAAATATTTTTCCTAAATTATATCATACCTTAGCCCCGCGTAATGAGAGCTGGAGTGCCGTCTCTTTGCCGATCCCAGTGTTGGCACCGGTTATGATGACTACCTTTCCATCCAATCTTCGCTCACTTTTACACTTACGTCTCATATGCAGAATATTTGATCCCATCTCCTCGACAAATATTGTCGTCAGTTTCCGCCCGTATTTTATCGATTCACACATTATTAGTACAAAAGGGTATTTTACACAAATACCAAGTTATTTTTATAAAGTCAATTTAATGAATAGGAATTTGATAAATCTTAATAAATTTATAGTGTTTGAAAGTGTATAGAAAATACCTGTTTAAATAATCAGGACTATTTGTAGAGATTGCGCGATAATAGATATGCACTGTGTTTACACTCAATGTACTATTAAATGATTTAAATTCGTTAATAAACAGTAAACAGTATTAAAGTTATTTTCATCTAAATGTATACTGTAGACTATTCAGATTTGCCGATTAAATAATTATGAATTATATTTTTGTTTTTAAATTATTTTTTATTTTTACCTGCTATAGAGACTAATAAATTTTGGAAATTATAATTTGTATTTAAATTAATTTAAAGCTACTTTTAATGCTTTTAATATTTTATTTATAATTAAATAAAGCTTATTATACCTTTATACGGTATAATTTTTATTTTATTACTGATATTATTAATTTACAAATAATTTATTAAGATATTAATAAATATTTTTAATGCTAAAATAAATTGAAGCTAAAGCATAAAAAATTAATTCTTAAATATTTTATTATATTTAATTAAACTTGTTTAAATTATTTTTTAAAACATTTATTGATACCGGTTATTGATTTACAATTTTCAATTTGTAATTTAAATATATATTTTTTTGTTATCATTTTTATGTGCATAGTTTTAAGATAATTAATAAAAAGTAGTCCACTAGTAACAAAATAGCAATTATTCGTTGATTCGCTGCAGTTTAATAACTAACCTTTAAACATTTATGAACTGAGGCACTTAACATGGTTATCTTTTATCAATTATTCTAGTTATTAAAAATAATCCATGAGAATTATAGCACTTGAACTCAACAATTTGCATTCAAATCTCGTCTATAAATGGACCACATTTTAACAGTTATTTTATTTCTAGTTTTCTAGTAAAAAGTGATACGGTAAGCTCTACATCAGCATAAGGAGGGTCATTCTGATAGGTCACCCCATAACCACTCAATTGAACTCTTGAACCTTCAGCCAACTGTCCAATATTTGCCGTTAGAGTAGTCCATTCCTTATGGAGTTCGTGTTCAACCAGCACATCCCGGCCCCCGTTATCAGGCGATTGTACAATGACTTTGAAAGTTGCGATATAACTGGTCGGTACGTAACTCCTGTACCGCAGATTTAATACACAGTTTGGTTTAGTGGCCACTAATGGACTCGTTGTGAGCACTGCCGCTATGTTTGAGTCCTCTATCGCAACATATTTTTATTTAAATATATTTTTGAATGTAATAATTATTACATAAAATTATAAGTATATTATTAGCCATAGGATTCACTACACATTTTACTGTTTAGTTATTTAATAATTATCTCACAATTATTAATGAAAACTTACTCATATGGGTGTCAATGATAGCAAATTTGCCAGAAGTACGTCCTGACCCGTCAACTGATGGCAATACCCCTCCCATAGGTTTTCTAACCACCCATTCATAATCACCGGCACTGATGTCTGTCCACTGACACAGGTCTCCCGAATCAAAGTTACAGTCGTATCGAGTAATGGGAATTAAATTCTCAGAGTTATAAACCCCGAGAATTAATGAACTTATGTATACTAAAAGGGCTTTCATTCCTAAATATAATTAATTAATTAAAAATATGTATGATTTATACCATTTATTATTTAGAGAGAGCTTACCGTATGACTTCTAACTAGAAAACTAGAAATAAAATAAAATAACTGTAAAAATTTGGTTCATTTATAGACGAGATTTTAATGCAAATTGTTGAATTCAAGTGCTATAATTCTCATGGATTATTTTTAATAACTAGAATAATTGATAAAAGATAACCATGTTAAGTGCCTCAGTTCATAAATGTTTAA